TTTGAGGTTTTTTTTTTTTTTTTTTTTTTAGAGGTTTTTGCTATAGGGAGCAGGCGCTCGCCAGACAGATAGAGAGACAAAGAGACACTAAGGGAGAAATCATCTCTCAGAGGGGATGGTCAGGCCACAATCCTTTCTCGTCCCTTCTCTCAGGATCTTGGGCACTCACGCACATGCGCCTGGCGTGAGTTTAAGCCGCCGGGTCTGGGACTCGAACCGTGGTCGACTACATGGGAGTTCAGCAACAGCCATTACACTAACTGCTGGTCCCCCTCTGAGGTTTTTAGTATCCTAAATACTTTTGAGAGCAAGGCAGTAAGATGAAAATAGACAGCAAACGTTCTTTCTTTGGGAGGAGGGCATAAACAAAGAGTGCTAAGAGAAGTTGAAGTAAAGGAAGAGTCAGAGAAGAGACTAAAACCATATTTTTTAAGAAGCTTAAAAGAAACACAAGCATAGACCAGCAGGTGGTAAGGAGGTTAAGGCAGCTGGATCCCACAAACCCAACTGCACAGTTCAAGTCCCAGACCTGGTAGCTTGAAAACACATCAGGCACATGTGTGTGCATGCCAAAAATCTCAGGAGAATGGAGGAGAAAGGCCTAGAGAATAACCATTCCCCCAGGAGGGTGATTACTCACTTTCTCTCTCTCATTCTTACCCTCACCCTTGCCTTCTCTGTCTCTCTCCAGTGCACGCACAAGTCCTATAACAAACTTAAAAGAAACAAAAGGAGAAAACAGCAAATGGAACCAACTGGATGAAATCATGTCCAAAATGGTATGAATATTTCATGGTATAGACTCCGGCAGAAAGTTATTTTATACTGTCTATCAAAACTACAAATTCACTTCCAGAATCTGCGCTACAGCTCGTGTTGTCCTGGGGCCGGCAAGAGGCATGGTGATTAAAGGTGCTAGATTCCCATACGGTTGACTGTGGTTCGAGTCTTAGACCTGGCGGCTTGCTTTCTCACTTTCTCTCTCTCTGTCTCTGATCAAGTTTAAAAATAACAAATGGAATTAAATAATTCTTTTAAAATATGCCAAACATGTGCTTGTCCACATGGTAAAAGTTAACATGAACACGGTTACTCACTACTTTAAAATGGCAATAAGCTGGAAAAAAATCTAAATGTCCATCAATAATAAATAATCAATACGCACAAGGTGCAAGATACAGACGCAGAGAGGAGCAATAACACTGATTCTTGATAATGATAAGTTATCTCTAAAATATACTAATATTGTAAAAAGCAAAATACTGACGTATGCACAGCGTGCTACATTAATGTAAAAACACAGGACGATATATTCGGACATTTTTGTATACGTACAGAAAATATTGATAGATACACAAAATGTCAACACTGGCTGTCTATGCGGAGAAGTCGGTGTGGGTAAGGATGGGGGACTTTTCAAACCCATCTTCCCTGCCTCGAGTTTTGAACCGTATAAATGTATTATCTAGACAAAAATGTGTTTTTTTTTTTTTAAATGAAACTTGCGCCTCAGGATTCTAGCTGCACAGTGATAGTACCTAGCTGTCACACCCGGGGAAGAGGAAGGAAAAGAAAGGACCAAACACCGGCAAGCAGGGGACGTTTTCAAGGCCTAGAAGGCCGAGTAGGGTGCGTGACTTCTTCAAGAACTCTGAGACGAGAACAAATAAAAAATGTTGATCAGCAAGAGAATACAGAACTTGGAGAGGGGTGAGGGAGACAGAGATGGGAGGCAGGTTAACCCGCCTTCCGCCCCAGACTAACTTCACTACAGGACACAAGAAGGCCAGGGCACCGAGGCGGGATCCGGAGTCCGGCTCTCTCCAGGGCCCAGGCTGGCCCTGCACCGACTCGGCTCCGGCTCTGGCCCATGTCAACTGACCTCGGATGGGCTTGTCGTCTTTCTCATCCTCTTTGGTTTTCCGCTGATCTGCACCCAGGTAATCCGGCATTTTTGGGAGAACCAAGTACTTCAATTTTTCAGAGATTACACAGCACGTTCTTCGCTTCCGGTGGTGCCTTCCCTTTTTTATTTATTTATTTTTTTAAAAGAGAAATCAGGGAGACCAGCAGGTTCCGGTGGTGCCTTCTCTGTCCCTTCCCCACCGGAAGTACAGCGCGATTCGCCCTCTCTCTTCATAGGGCGCTAGCGAGCCTGGACCTTGGCGTTAGAGCATGCAGGCGTCTCATCTTCCAGGTGGAAGACGTTAGGATGCTCTGAAGACCATCGTGACAGTTGATGGGAAGGAGTCCGTGTGAGGAGGACACGTCGCTCCACGCGGCCACCCCCAACATCTGCACCGTTTTGTCTTCTCCGAGGACTCAAAATCTTGACTTCAGTCGATGAGTTTAAATCCTGCTATAGTCATTCACATACCGTCCAGCCTCGCATAACTCAGTTTCTGAACTTAAATTTACTCTTTACCTCACCCAAGATGGAAACATTAAATAAGGGTTTGTAAAATACCTATCAGATACATAATAAGTAGTGGCTAAGTCTACAAATAGAGGGACGGTAATGTATTTGTAGCAAAGAGTTAATATCTAGAATATATAAAGAACTCCTACAGCTCGACAAGAAAGCAACCTGATACTTAAAATGGGTAAGGAACTTGGATAGGAGTGTCTTCAAAAATGATACGGTCAACAAACATATGAAAAAGATACTCAACATTAACTCAGGGAAATGTAAATCAAAACCATAATGAAATGGCACCTCAGACCCCATTAGTTATACTATAAAACAAATCCAGGAGACAAGTATGGCCAAGATGTGGAGAAAATAGAACCCTCGAGCGCTGTTGTGGAAAAGGTTACAGACTGCTATGGAAAACTGATGGTTCCTCAAAATTACTGTATGGTTCAGCAATTCCACTTCTGAGTATACCAGAAGACTCCCAAAAGTTTAGAAAAATGAAGTGAAGTACAAGTTTATTTTGGTGTAAAAATTTTTCAAATCTATGCATAATTTTTTAATACTATGCATTTTTCATGAACTTTGAGAAGCCCCGTTGTATGCTCAAAAAAAAAAAAAAAAAACTGAAAATAGGCCGGCAGGTGGTGTGGTAGTTAAGGACGTTGTACTCCTACATGGGCGACTGCAGTTCAAGTCCCAGACTGGGCGGCTTGCCCCACCCCTCTCTCTGTCTCACTGATCAAATTAAAATAAAGATAATTCTAAATTTGAAAACAAGATCTCAAAGATATTTGTAGTCCTATGAATATAAAGCCTTAAATGGGATAAAGGAGACAGAAGGCCTGTAGGTAACCAAGTTTCTACCTTGGACTAAATCCTTATGGGGCACAAAAAAGGTCAGAGCGCCAAGCCAGGAGCTGGAATCCAAGTCCATAGCAGCATTATTCACAAGAGCAAAAAAGGTGGAAGCAACCCAAGTGTCCATCTACAGACAAATAAAATATGACATATACATATAATGAAATATTATTCAGCCTTATAAAGAAATGAATTTTTTATATGTGCTACAACACAGGTGAACCTTGAGGACATTATGCTAAGTGAATAAGCTAGTCACCAAAGCCAAATACTGTATGATTCCACATATATGCAGAACCTACAGTTGTCAAATACATACATACAGAACGTATAAGAACGGTTGCCTGTGGCTGGGAGAAGTGTGGAATGGGGAGCTATTGAGTGGGTGCAGAGTTTCTGTTCTGCAAAATAAAACAAGTTCTGAAGATTGATTTTACAACAATGTAAATTACTTAATACTGAACTGCACATTTAAAAATGGCAAAAATGGCAAATTTCACATTACGTATTTTTTCTCTCTCTGTTAGGTATTTGCCATAGGCTACATACACTTGCTGGAGAGAGACAGGGCAAGTGAGAAAGCATCCCCTGGGGTTGGGGTGGGGAAATGACCATGACACAGTTGTCTCTCTTCCGTTCTCCTCTCAGGATTTTGCACATGTATGCACATGCACTTTGTATGTTTCTCAAGCATCTGAGTCTAAGACTTGAATGATGAAGTTGGCCAATTTTCTCCAGCAAATATACAGACCAATTCAACATATTTAACATATAAAAAATGCAATTTCTAAAGAATAATTTACTAATTTCTGATACTCTGCTAAAGTGGGCATGTCAAGTCTGTTTTGTTTAATCTGTTCCAGATACTACTGTTAAAGGCAAAACTACCCAGTATTTTAGTTTTTTGCTTTTGAAGGAGGCATATAGTAGGAATACCATTGATTTTAATAACTCCGGGCTTCCCAGAGTTCTGTAATTGGAGCTATCTTTAAAAAAGTTAAAAAACACCTCATTCTATTAGAGCAGTAAAAATATTGAATAAGATCTAACACCAGAGAGAGGTTTCTTCTCCAAGTGGATATTTTAAGAGATAATGCAAGTAAATTATTTGCTAGTAGCACAACAAATGTTCACTGCCACTCTTCTAATTATTAAGGTAAGCACAATACATCACAGATATATGTACATAATTCTCTATGGACAGATATTATACTAGATACTGTGGATACTAGCTCTACGAGTCTTTTCATTTATACAAATAGAGCTAATGGTAAAAAAAAATCATTGGTTAGGTTCAGACTAATACATATAGTCTGAACTTAAAAGAATATAAAAGGAACTGCTTTTAAATTATGTTTCATGTAGTTCACTTGGACGAGGAATAATCCTTCCACAAGGGAACGGACGACTCTAGGAACCGTTCATCTGTGTGCGTCGGAATCCAGCCGGACCTGAATAAGTAGAGAACCTAGCCCGCCGCACACGTTGGCCCCGGTGGGTGGTGGGGGGGTGGGATTGGCGTCGGCACCACGAAAGGTCCATCCCGGAAGTGCTTATTGATAGTCTCCATGCGCCGTGTCCTGGGCGACGTAGAGCCAAGGCGCGAGGCTCAGAAGGAGAGGTAGAGCTGGAGGGGACGCTAGGCGCCCTCTGCCCGGGACGCGAACGGCTGCGTTCGTGGGGCTAGCCCCGGCGCCATCATGCTGCTCCTGCCGAGCGCCGCGGACGGCCAGGGCACCGCCATCACCCACGCTCTGACCTCTGGTACGTGCCCACCCAACCGCGGCTGAGTCCCTCGTCCGCAGCCCCTGCCTCAGTCCTCCGCCTCGGCAACCCTGGAATCTGTCTACTCTTGACCCAGGCAACTACCTCGGGAACATGTGGGGCCGTGTCTATTGCTCTTTTGCTCCCCGCTATAAAGTATGCCTACCCTAGATTGAAAGGTAGGAAGGTGGGGGGCGTCATCCTTCTGTCTCCTCGGTGCTTCCTCCTCTCGGGGCTGCTGACTCATGGATCGGGCTGAGCAGTTTGGAACCCAAATCCTCCAGTCCGCGAGAAAGATTCCTGTAATCATCTCCTTGTATACCGGGAAGAGTCTACCCGCAGCGAGCACCCACGTGCCTTGGGTCGTACAAAGCCTTACTGCTGGCGATCTGTTAAACACCTTTCTCGCGTTCTGCATTTGCTCCGGGTTGTTTTTTTTTACGTGTCAGAACTCAACCACCACTCCTCATATTAAAAGATCCTTGCCTGGGTTGCTGGAAAGACGCAGAGACACTCTATTAAAGGCAGTCATTCCAAGTGCAACTTTTGCTGCTGCTGAAGGGTTAGATTTATAGCCCACGACAGTCGTGGTAAACTTAGTCTCCTGTTTCAATAATACATTTTTGAAATAGCAATACCCAGAGCCGCTTACATAGGCTCTATTGAATGATTTTGAACATCGCTCATCGCATGTTGGTTGTGTGTATGTAATCTTAACGACTGGAGGAAAAGGCTTAAAAAGCAAAGTTCTGAAAAGCCACACCCACACTACCACACTACACAGGTAGTGTTTCTCGGACTAGGTGTTTGAATCCTCCTATGTAAGATGGGGGAAAACTTAGTTTGCAAAGCTAAGGAAAATTCAGATTTTGTTTTGTTTTTCAGGAAAGGTGGCCATTAAGTACAGAGAAAAACTTTGAATTATTCAGTTCTGGGCAGAAAAAAAAACTTTTGCTTTCGTATGGAATATGAAATTAAAATGAATTTACTTTTTTTTCCTGAAATTACCCGTATTGAATTGCTAATGTACACATGTACAGCAGTTTACTCCTATTTTCTAGAAATGGATATGCCTTATTTTTCTACAACAGTTTATGATTTTCTTTCTTTCTTTCTTTTTTTTTTTGAGAGGTTTTTGCTATAGGGGGCGTGTGCTGGCCAGACAGACAGAGACAGACAGAAAGAGAGAAATCACCCCCCAGAGGGCATGGCCACACCGCAATCCCTTCTCCATTCTCCTCTTGGGATCTTGGGCATGCATGCACACGTGCCCACGGTGAGTTTAAGCCACCGGGTCCGGAACCGGACCACGGTCGACTACGTGGGAGTCCAGCGACATAGCCATTACGCTAACTGCAGGTCCCAACAGTTTATGATTTTTAAAATACCTTTATAGTTTCTCATTCACTCTTCCTAGGAACCAAACAAAACATATCATTTGAATATTACAGTTGAAGATACCTGAATCATTTTAGGATATAAAATTGGGAAAATTTCCCCAGACTTGGGAAATTGTATTTCAGAATAAATGATTGCTAGTGAATTCTTAATATTTTTAAGAGTTATTTCAATGTAAATTTTAATAATTAAGAGTGAGTGTTTTGAAGATGTTTTTAATGAGGCTAGGTTGTAGCGACAATTTATCATTATGTATTGCTTTATTGTAAACTTGGTCTAAAAGTAACTTTGCACCATTTCATCAGCATTCTTCACCTTCAGCTTGTATCTTCAGAAAGGTGTTGACTCATCGTTGACATTGCTAAATGTTTTACTTTGTGAGATAACTGGAAAAGGTTGATTGAATACTCTGTAAATAGTAGAAAATGATTTCTTGCTGACACTTATGCAAGTGGGATGGCTGCAATTAATTCTTTAGTTGATGGTTTTGAATTGTATTCTGATGGTATCTCTTCTTGTTTCCTGAGAAAATATATTGCCTTTATTCTGTGCAGTACATTGAAGCCTTTCTTAACACTTTCAATCA